AGGAATATGTACGTTTTTAGTGTGTAATGTGCGTGTGTTCTGGTTGTGATTAGCCCTGGCTCAGCATTATGCTGTGGAGCAGACGTGTTAACAGCAACAGTTACCGCCTCAGACGCAAAAAAAAATGTAATAATAACAGTAGAAAAAATAATAATAGTAATAATTAAAAACCACCTTTAACAGTTCCAATGCGACCGCAAGAGGCCCGTGTTTACGCATTGTTCAGACCTCAGCGGTATAGATATAGCGTCGTCATAGTGTGAACTACATAAATGGCAATACACGCTTCTTAAAGGGGTTGGTTTCATAGTAACCTAACAACAAATGCTTGCTAAAAGGGTTAATGTTCCAATTCACAAATTATTGTTGATTTAAAACGTATTGCCATCCGCCTTGCACACTCGAAAATTGTGTCTAGTGCTCCTTAACCGGATCAAAGGAGGCAGGTACAAAGGATTTACATTTAAGATTCACCATAAAGGATGAGCCTTGAATTAAGTAAGTCAGCGTTTATATATTTTTATATAATAGTAACCTCTTAGATATTTTATTTATATTTTTTTTCATAGAACAGAAACAAACGGGTACGAGGCCGATGCAGATGTTAAGTGATACCTCCGCCCGTGGACTGCTAATGCCAGAGGGCTCGCGAGTGCGTTGCCGGCCTTTTAAGAATTGGTACGCCCATTTCTTGAAGGACCCTAAGTCGAATTGGTTCGGAAATACTTCAGTGGGCAGCTGCTTTCACATAGTGCGCGACAAAAAATGCCTTAAAAAACGCTCAGTTGTGGATGATGAAACTCAGCTGCAGGTATTAATCCGAAAAACTCCTCTAGACTGTAATGCTGTAGAAGATGCAGGGTGATCCCACATCTCTACACAACGCCAAGGGATCAAGCCGCTCGCAAAGGGATTGGTCGTCGACGATTCGAACCGGTCTTCATTACGGTCAAGTGGAAGGAGCTTCAAGTATTATTTTAGGAGGATTTTAAAGTAGGGGATCGTTTTGCCTAAATAAATACTGTCGCGTCGGGATACATACGTATATAACCTATATGCATGATAACTTAATGACGAAAAGGTATTAATGACTTTCGTAGCAAATAACGCAGCCTATGACTTTGACTGAGTAGGTTTTTGTTTTTTTAATTCATAACCTAAGACAACTTGATGGTTCATGCATTATATTAACATTCATCGTAAACGATTCAATGTTTCAAGCGAATCGATCTGTACACTCACCTCTTAACGGTTGTAGTTTCAAGTTTTGGGGCAAAGTCCAATGCGCTTTAATATCACAGTTACAGTAATATCTTATTTATCAAAGATTCAGCTGTATAACAACGTTTAACCAACATAGTTTAATCCTGACTGAGCTTCTGGAACATCTGGTTAATGATTACAAATCATTAAGAAATTAAGCGAGTTTAATTTTACAATTATGTAAATTATTATCTCGTGACGATGCTGTAAACGATGTCGGGTTTTTTTTTAAATCCTATGTCAGTTAAATAGTTTGGTTAACCGCGGTAATCTTAGAATATAATTTTTACATACGGAAGAGATCACAATCACGAATCTTACCTTAAACGCGGAAAACCGCAGGAAAAGTTACGAATAATTGTGATAAAGATGTTTTAAATCAAGTGTATTTTCGTAAATCATGAAATAGTGTTACGAACAATCACATTTCTTTGTGTCAATAATGAACTGTATTTCAAATCAAATTGAAATAAACTGAGGAAATGCTATCTGGCAACACTCACAGTACAAAGGCACAATTTCCTTGATAAAACTGTGGATAAATGAAGGACGACAATTTCTTACAGTAAAACGGATCAATACAATTAATATTATAGCTTTTTAAGCTTAAAATTAATTTTACATTTTTTTTAAGCATATTCTGTAAAAAAGTTCAAAAATATTTATAAAAATGAATTTGCATTTATTACATAGAAAATATTTACCATCGTGACGATGAGATATTTATCTCTTTTTAATAAAAATAGGCTAAATTTTTAAAACTGACAGTTGCGGCTCTCGCAATGGTAAGCACCGCAACACATTAGCCGGGTCTAGTCAATACCTGGCGCCATTTTCTCATCATTTAAAAAAATAGGTTGATCTACTTTCTCAGAAATTTAATTCATGTAATAGAAGTTGATTTCAAGGGTTCACGTAAAACATTTGTTTTGTTCTCGTTTGTATTGTTTTCGTTGTTATTTTATTATTGATTCATTTTATTCAATAAGTGAGGCATGGTGTCAATTCCAATGGATTTTCCTAATAATTTTCTTGTAAACCAAAAACTTGGCGATTATAAAGGGTTTCTTATCAGTTATTCACGTCTATATACCCTTGATTGGGATCTGGTAGTAAGTAGTAGATAAATGTAGTCATTTAAATATTAACGTTTATAAGTGTATACCTTGAATAAATTTCATTTCATTTCCTTAAAAGTTCGGTAACATCACTATGTATCCAAACCCTTTTATTTTTCACTTCCGTCAAGATAACTTTGACGGATTCACCCGAAATTTACACCGTAATAAAGTCTAAAACAGTTCCACTATCTGACACTTGTGAGCCTCACGGCACTGCTAGTTGCCTCGTAAAAACCTCGAAAGCCTCTGAAATAGTTTGATATAGTTCTATTAAGGTTTTAATCTCTATAGTTAGTTACCATTTATTTATGAAAACAAAATATTACTATTGTTAATAATATGCTTTATCTCTTAGTATAATTTGACTTAATGAAAGGAATATTACTTTTGTTTTAACACTGAAAAATTAACAATTAGTCATGTCATGTTTGTATAAAATTACTTTTTGTTTCTGTAAAACTGTCTTAGGATACACCCTATTTTCTTTATATTTTATTTGACTTTTTTTCTACTGAATTTTTCCTAAGGAATAAACAAATAAATAATTCTAAATGGTACAATGTTTTTCTACTTGATAGTATTGATTTACATGGTTCATGAATTACGCAATTCATAGGTACGACGATACGTATGCTTTGATAGATATAAATTTCTTTTATTTTTAAACTCAAACCTTTTGGGTAAAATCCTTGTGATATTTCAACAGTTTCCTGAAGAAACCACTGTGTATAATTTAAATTCTATTTCCGAAAATTGTTCAGTGTGAAATCTTATAAGTTTTATATTATGAAGGATGCTATATATAACTGAGTTGGCAATCCCGATTCGACCTCAAAGTCAACGACGGAACAACAATCACGAAGCGGAAGCCGCGGTAAACGCGTTACAGCGCCGCCGCGCTATTCCATAAATAGTCACTGCCTTATAACGTTGGTATTTTGCTTTTACAACCTTATTATGAATAAAGGATAATTTGTTTCTCTTATGGGAAAGGGCGCTTTTAATGTAGCTATTTTTTGTTAGCGTTACCAGTGATTTGAAAATATTTCATTTGTACGTCGTTCTAAAACCACACACAGAGACCTCCAATTGCATTATCTAATTGCATGGGAATAGATAGGTCTTCCAGGCTATCATATTTTTCACCAAATACATTGAACTCTTATAAGTTTAATTGTAAACCGAAAAACTCCCGACAAAATGAAATGTGAAGTAGGAAGCTATTAAAAAAATTCACACTAAAATTGCTAATATTGGAAAAAATTTCGGCGTATTTAAATTTGCTTTCAATTAGTCGATTGTGGTTGAAGCAGTGGCAAATTCGTGATTAGCGCAGTGAAATGGCGTTTCTAATTAATAACGCAAACTCAGTCGGAAATATAGGAATACTAAATAGATCGAATGTAAGTGATGTGATGTTTGGTAAATTATATCTGCGGGACTAGTAAACATCGAATCAATACCTAACATTTTGAATGATTGTGAGCCTTTTTTAATATTGTTTTGACTTTTATTGGAAAATAACTATAGTCAATAACTAAATTTTCTTTATTCCTACATAATTATGTATTTACAGTATATAATCGCGGATACTTGGCGTACCCATGCGTCTTTTTCAACACATCCCAACACGTCCCTTCGTGAGTCGTGTGCTTTGATATTGCGAGCTACTCGATTGTTAGGAAGTTGCATGGATCTAGTTAGCGCTGTGCCTTTTTAAGTTCTTGTGTTATTTTCACATATTGTATAACATATTTTCATAAGTATCTGATGATGGTGATGAGAGCAAAAATTAAATTAAATATGCATTATTATCTATTTACGTTTACATGTAGTTTTTTTATGTATTTTCGGTGTTAACAATAAATCGGTGTTAGCAATAGAGAAACCAAGAGACAACTTTCGAAATAATTGCCATTATATTAACATCTATATTTCTATTTAAAATCTTATTTAATCAATTTGATAAATTATGACAGTTGTATAATTTGAGTTTTTAATGGTTTAAGAAAATAAAGGCGTCCCATTGCTCTACTAGTCACTACAACACTGCTTTCTTTCTGTCAAATTATGTTTTGATGTGATGAAAAGAGACAGATGATTACATTAAAACAGTGGTGTTTGACTGTTCTTTATGAATAAAGGCGTAAAGAGTACATATTTGTCGTTCTTAATTTTTCTTTAAACAAGTTTATTTCAATTAAAATATAGTTATTTTACTTTATTAATCTTTACTATTTAAACTAGTTATGGACATTAAATAACTAAAAATACACAACGAGCATCACTTTAATTAAAGAGTCATTCAAATCCAAAAGGTTGAATTTTATATAACTCTGACATTTTGAGTGGCCGACGGACTTGAATTTGCTTGACTTGGCTTAATTAATAGGATTAAATGAACATTTTCAAATACAAATTGAACGTGTTAAAAATAACAAAGTTCATATTAGCTGTGTGTTATGTTAGACGGCAATATATTAATTAGCATTTTCTAATATATGTATAATGTATATGTAAGAGTATAGTGAAAATGTAAAACGGAAGGCGGAACGATGACGCGTTTCGTATGATTGTTATTGGTCAGAGGTATCGTTTCGCGTCTCTATGATTGGTCTAGAGATTTGGTTCGTATGCTTCTGATGTGTTGTAACGGCCCAAAGGTTGATTGATGGAAGTGGATGGAACCCGTGTCAGTTCAAAGATATGTCTTACTAATAAAGGCATCCTCTGGTGGATCGTATGCCTGAGCCTCTTTTCGTAGAATTCCTAAGGCGTCCCCGGAGGGGCTTTACATAGGGTAAAGCATTGAGCTTTATTTTTCTTTTCAAATTCACGGGGCAAGAAGTATGAAAATAGTTTAAAGCGAGAGTTATGTAAACTAAGGGTGCGTACAGACTATGTAACATATTATATAACTTGTGTTTTATAACATAAAACAATACTGTACACATTAGAATAACAATGCAAGATAACAATGTTATATAACCATTGTAAATAACAAAAGAAAAACAAAAAACGTAGATGCTGGGTTCGTCCTAGCATACATATCAATAACATGTTAATATAACATGTTTTATAACATTCAGTGTCCACATTATCTGAAACAAGTTGTATAGCAATGTTGTATAACATGTTATGTTATATAGTCTGTACGCACCTTTACATTAGATAAGTTACATATATATATTTTAGTCAATAATTAAAAGCGTACCTTAACAAAACGTAAACAATAATTGCACACTTGAAGCCAATATGAGCCCTTTAGTTTTTAACACACTCATAAATTGTAATTTAACATTCTCGTTTCCGATAATGTCATCAGTGTCACTTAGATTTACGAACTCTTCAATAAGTCAAGTTAGTTTTTTTTTAATCCAGCGTCGCAACCCCACTACCCCTAATGATATCTTAGTTATAAGCTCATGTTTTAGACAATTAAAGCCAGTTGTTACCCAGCTTCAAACAAAGTGTTTCATTTAAATGAAATATATCCAATATCCGTATTTGAACATATCCATACTACAACCGCCACCGAACTTAACTCGAAGAATTATTATTTTATTTATTTATTCAATGTAAAATTGATAAGTCGAATGTTATAGAATTGCCTTTCTATTTTTAAAAATAGCAACTTTGAAGTGAGACGTTTTAACACAATTAAAATGGATTCTAAGAATTTTCAAGATGCTTTACAGTTAAATGCTCTAGGCTTTGACACACGCCACAAAGCGACGCTATAATGAGTGCGGTCTCCTTTCTGCCCTTTTTAATATATAGCTACACCTTTTTGCCAAGTAATAGGAATTTTTAACGCACCACACCGTTATAAGTTATAGATTTTATTCAAAGAGACTAGACTTACGTAATTGAAACAATAACATTAGGATGATGATGATGATTCATGTATGTCAAAATTAAATACATTCTGGACACATATAGGACTCGGTCCCGTTTCTAAATCATACCCTAATAGCATTTTAGATGTTTTGGGGTAAAATAAGTCAAAATTATATAAAAAGGAACTTAGTTATCTTGCAATTAAATGTTAGCATTTATTTGGATGAAAATGCTCCTAACGATACACGTTTACTTTTTAACTCATACAGTTTATATGATATTCATTTATTGAATACTAAATATGTTTATTCATATAAGTCACTAACCTGATTCAATCGTGCATCTCCACTAACAGTGTAAATTCCTCGGCATTCTGTCACTTCCTCTGGCTTATCCGTAGATCTGGGTCTACGGCAACATGCGGCACACACCGCTACGAGTACACCACACAGCGTAGCACTGGAAAACAAATCTACGATGTAGCTTTTGCTAAAATAACATAGGCCACTGCAAAGAGCAATATGCTACGGCGTAGCTAGTGCTACGCTGTATTTTGAAGGGATTCGTCATCTATCAGCAGTAGGCATAGAACACGCTCTTACATTCTCGTGGGAACAACACGCAATGTTTTTCGGAAACATTTCACATATTTCATAAATAATTTTATGAAGTCGAAAATCTTAAGGACTTATGACGCTGGCGTCAATTATTAGTAGATTATAAAAATCATGACCGACTTTATTCTATCTTTAGAAATTTTACCTATAATAAGTCTCGGTTACCTACATTAATTACGTTGTTATAAAAACCCTTTTAGCTCAGGGAATGTAATCCCGGTTTTTATAATAAGGGTTTTCAATAAATTAAAAAGGCTTAAGAGGTTCCCCTAATTGAAAAACAATCAACGCTGTCAAAATTCTAATACGAAAGAAATTACGGTAACGTAATAACTGCCCCTGTGGATTAGTGGTTAACGCACATGACCGGAAGTCTAATAATTGCCAGTGAAACAATTTTTATATGTAAGTCTCTGGTATAATATTAAGTAATGGTTAATTTTGGATCGGACTTCTCAGGTATATTATTTACTAAATTAATAAACTATATATTCTTAAGTAATAGTATAAATTTTAGGCTATTTGTTGAGATGTTGTAACAACCGACAAAGTAAGACGAGAATAAATTTTTGTCGTTTAAAATATACAATTAAGGCTCTTTAAAATCAGTGGCGCTACAACCATTTTCTGTCTGGTCCGCAGATTTCTGTATCTGCTTCATGATCATTTGTCAATCTAATAGGAGAGTAGGTGATCAGCCTCCCGCTTAACTCACGCCGTCGGTTTCCTCACGATGTTTTCCTTCACCGTTGGAGCGAATGTTATATGCGCACATAGACAGAAAGTCCAATAGTGCACAGTCGGATTCGAACCTACGACCATAGAGATGAGAGTCGCATGCTGAAGCCACTAAGCCAACACTACTCTTAATTAAAGTTGTATATTATAGGTTATGGTGTAGTTCTTCTTATCATAATAACAAATATATTTTATTTTAAAGAATTTGTTTCGAACACATTTGAAATGAAGATGTTTAGAAAACGCCCGTTCTTAATGGAATGGAAAAATTGCGCATACTTTAAATCGAAAGTAAATATTGCACGCTCGCTGTAAACCAACTAATTGGACATACTGACGCGAGGCGACGTCACATCGATTTATTATAGCCAAAGGTTTTTTCTATAAATTATGGGGAAATATTTGGATGTTAAATTTAACCTGAATAGCTCTAGGGCTAAATTCAAAATATAGCTTGTATTTCCTAATTAATTTCTTATGTTTGTTTTTATTTCGTGTGTTTTTTTTTATATGAGTTTGAATCTCCTGTTAGGAGAGGATCGCTTTTTTGTAAATAAATAAATATTCGTCATACTTTTTGATATCAGATTTTTGTCTATGTCACAAATATATGATACAAGTACTGAATCAAAACAGGTTTAACTATAAAAAAAACATGGAATGTTGCATATAGCCCAATGCTCAAAGATTAATTGATAACGAAAATTGAGTTTGATCTCTTTTTCTCTCAAAGAGGGTTCATTCTTTTATAAGACCTTCTCGTATATATAAAACTAAATAAAAAATACTTTCTTTATTTTCATTCTGACGTTTTATAATATAAATAAATTGTTAGTCTCGCACACATTTATTCAGACGAATATGCATATAAAAAGATATGAAAGTACAAACAAAATGTAATGAAATGTCAACGCTAAAATTCTTTTAAGTTCCAATAACGGCCGAGTTAAGGCAGAATATGGGGTTATTCATACCGAAAATTGAAATTTTATCTAGTTGACACCGGCAGTTATCCAGTTTCATCAGTTTTTTTTTAATATTTATTAGATAGCTTTCAACGTGTAAAATACTTCCATTTGTTTTTACGATTTATTTATAAGGTTCCGAATTCGATATATCATTTTGTAGATAGATATATTATTCTTTATAGTTTAAAAAATCGGTTGTCTGTAAAGTCGGTTTACTGACGATAGTTGAACGTGACAACGTCATACAAAAATATTGATGGGATGGTTGCATTTTTCAAAAAAAAATATTAAATTTTATTTGTTTGATAGGTATTTTGTATGGATATAGAGAAGGAGGTAAATGGAAATCACAATTGAATTGATCAAGTTACATTTATTTGTACGCATAAATACAATTATGTCAATTTTAAATGTAACGCCTCAGAGCGAGGTAACGCCTCAGAGAGAGGTAACGCCTCAGAGCGAGGTAACGCCTCAGAGCGAGGTAACGCCGCATGAGTCATGTTTTTTCGTGCGTGCAGCGGGCTCCATCGAATTATAAGACGTTGTCACGTCAAAAACAATAGTGTGGTTGACACACTTTTTAAGACAAAACTCGACATAGTTTTTCTGTCCACCTGGATGTCAAAATAGGCTATTTATTTACCAATGATTATTGTTCTACACGCAACTAAATTAAAGTTTAAAGTAGTGGCCAATCGGGTCGGGTTGTCTCTCCCTAAAATATGGCGAGGGGTCTGATGGCTGGCCATGCGTCATACTCGTGAACGGGTGGTACTGGTGGTGTACGTGGTGACTGGTCGGACTTGAATTCGTGTATGCGGTAATGTTAGTTATTCCGACTATGTATTTGCGTTTTGTTCCCACGAGAATGTAAGTGCGTGCTCCTAATTCACCATGCCTTCAGAAAGAGAAAAAATCTTTGTTGTTTTTTCGTATATACATATATATTTTTATTTTATTATTATAGTTCATAAGACGATCATAAGTGTACAGTGTGTTACCTAAATAAATAAATGAGTTTGACTTTGAACCAAATTATAACCAAGCCATTGAAAAAACATTGATACAAAACAAGTAGCTGATGAAAAAAATCTATTATTGACGGCAAATCCTATTCGTAGAGTCCGTAAAGTGTTTTCTGTAAAAATAATTAGCTTCATAAAGTGCCACTTCAAATTAATATTGTTTTTTGTTAATATATTGTTTTTAAATCAATAATGTCATATTGTATAAATTGAGATTCTCAATTCGTAGAAATCTATTTTATATATGTACCCAGATGTATTACTGGAAAACTCCTAGACCGATATGCAACTGTTATTGCTTATTATTTTTCGTTTGAAGGAGTCTGAAAAATCGGGGCTATACTTGAAATTGTAACGATTTGGGGATCTGGCGTATTGAATCACCGGTGTTGCAGATGTTCTAGGCCAGTTACAATTTATTCTTGATTCCGGCCCGTATAGTCTAGACATGTAATTTTGTATTATTGTTTGAATGCCCTGATATGACGATGATAAAAAAAAATATTAGTTTGATAAAAAGTAATACTATAGATAAGATACTTAGTGACATATCACGATAACGATTCTTAATAATATGATGCACTTGACTATTTGAAGTTCAAACCTTTGCAGAATTTTTTATTATAATTTCGTTACGTTACAAATAAATAAACATAAATCTACTGTAGAAACTAGACTGAGTCTTTTTCTTTTTTATGTGTTTTTTTTAATATTGTCCTGATCACTGTTGTTTTAATTTCTTTGTTTTGTTCCATTAGTTTTGTCTAAATAACTATGTCTTATGTATTTTTGCACTTCTTGCTTACCTTATCTAATTTTTAAAAAAATCTCACAGTCTCACCTGGAAGAGATCGCTTAAAGTGATAAAGCCGCTAGTTGCCCTCATTTATGTATGCTAGTTAGTGTTAATAAATAAATAAAATTAATACATTATTAGGGATGCTTATATAAAAGGAAATACTTAGGGTAAAGTGCAATAACCAAATTTAAAAAAAAATAATGAAATTGTAATAACTGATCCCATTTTAATCGGATAAGGCTATGTTCACATGTAACGCGCGTCAACGCGCGATCAAATTTGAAGAGCGTTCAGATGATGAGCGCTAACGCGCGTTGCGAGAGTACTCGTCAGTCTAGTTCGGTAGAACGTAGAAAATGGACGTGGAAGAGGCTATTATTTTGTGGTTATATTATAAAGAAAAATATAGAAAAAGAAAACGTACACATTGGGTTTATCCAATTTTGAAAAAAAATACAATTTATATTATATTTTTTATACAAATTTGCTATATTCCAACTTGCTGACCTTTTTTCTACTTCATCGATTAGTAAGTCGATGTCAATATCTTCAATTTCACTCATTTTAAAAGCGAGAACAAAATATAATTACGAAAATTAATAAAATTACATGCGATCGCGATGAAAGCGCGCGCTCATCTGAACAGCAAACGGACATTACATTAATATCAAAGCGCGCGTCAACGCGCGATCACCTGCGTCTAGAGACTTTTTCTCTGAGCGCCGCGTTGACGCGCGTTAACGCGCGTACATGTGAACAGTTGTATGAAAAATACCATAATCTCTAGTCGCGCGATTTGAAAACGCGCGTCAAGTTTTTGCCATCTGAACATAGCCTAAAACGGTTTTGAATTTAGTTAATATTTCCAACAAGATTAAAAAGATTTTATTGAAGTATATTTTTCAAAATTTTAGTTTTTTAATCGTGTTTTGATATCGGGTAATATTTATAAATATACTATTATTAATTTAAATTTCATCTACGTATAATATATACTACAATAGAAATTAATTCTATGTTGTATATTTCTACTTCGTTCGTCCCTTCTACTATTTACAGTGTCGCTTAGAAATTGTGACCTTTAAAATATTGTGAACTTTTAGACGGCTTGTAAGCTTCAGTGCAACTGGCATGATTTTTAAACCACACTTTGATTACAAGGCAAAAATCTATTTTTTTCTTCTTATAGTGCCTCAGTGATCATCGAAGGTTGGCTATCATCATGGCTTGAATTTTGAAAAAGCGCTTCTGAACAATGACTTGGTGCTTTGATCAAAACATTGTCTAAGATTCTTCAACCAAGACGTGCGTCTGCGGTCTACCAGCCACTTTGACTTGTATGATTAGTTATTAGATCAGGTATATTCAAGTTTCCTTTTCTTAAACGTCATTTGCACTTCTTTGTTGCACGGTTTTATTTCGTATGCGGTCTGTCCAAGATATTTTCAGCATACGTCGATAAACCCAGATATGGATCGCTTCCATTTTTTTGGACGTAGTCTCTGTTTACGTCCAAGATTCTACGCCGTAGAGCAGCACAGAGAAGACGTAACATCGCGCAGTGCGTGCCCTAAGTCTACTGATATTTTTCTTTCACAAAATGTATGAGACATGACCGCTCGTACTTCATTATCCTAACAAAAGTTTTGTTTGTTTCATAGAACAAAAACATTTAACCCAGTTACAAGGCGATAATTGAAATTAACACATTCATTAATTCTTGCTCGGGATGTCGGGGCAAAGAGAATGTATTCAGAATACGAATTTAGTGAGGAAGGTCAGGGATTCGGGAATACGTCAATTGTGTAATGTTTTCCCCTTCCTAAATTTAGTGAAATTTATAAATAGTATACGTTTTTAACTTAATTTAATTTTTAGTGTATCTTAAAATAATAAGTTTTATCGCATTCGTAGTAACTGTTAAACACTAAATAAATAAATATTTTAGCTAGCAAGACTTTATCTCTTTGTACAATTTTTTGTAACCTTTACGACGCAAAGTGAAATTGCGAGAAAAATTAGCGCTTCGAGACGGGTCTAGAAATGGTGCCGTATCCTAATGAGGCTTAATAATAAATGCTATAAAAACAAAAACAATTTTTGTTACACCTATAAAAAATAAACCAATCAGTGGCGCTACAACCTGTTTAGGTCTGGGCCTCAGATTTCTGTATCTGTTTCATGTGCCTCCTGTGCTTGACACACGCCGTCATTTTGTGTCTAAGGCAAGCCGGTTTCCTCACTATATTTTCGTGAATGAATGTTAAATGCGCACATAGAAAGAGAGTCCATTGGTGCACAGCCGGAAATCGAACCTACGACCTCAGGGATGAGAGTCGCACGCTGAAGCCACTAGGCCAACACTGCTCTTTGTTATATTGTTATTCGTATAGCGTAATATTTAACACGCGGCACTACAAATTTGGTCTTGAAGTCAGATTTGGTTGTACCCATTATGTCCAAGAAGAGGGGCGAAAGAAGAGAGAAATTTACTTGGGCACAGCCATGATGTGAACGACTCAGCGGTGAGATTCGCATTCTAGGCCAACACAGCCTTGCGATTCTGTAACTCACTTTTCGAACTCGCACAGCGGTTTACGCAGAGGCGGTCGCGCTCAAATCAGTCGTGAAGCAGTCATTTTACGATTTGGCATTCTGATAAACAATAAACTACAAACTCCCTCCTTTTCAGAATGCCAAATCGTAAAATGACTGATTTTCGGTTATGTGACACAGTTCCAGATAGGTATGTTAACAATGAAGCCGATTTATGTATTTTAGTGCAATTTATCAAACGTGATAATTTTATGTAATGTTAGACATATCAGGTACCACCTGATTTGCATATAAGTTGTAAGTCAACGTTATCAGCGCACGTGACAAAAATGTTACGTTCTTATCATTGGTTAAGAGGAGGCTCGACGAAAATAAACCAGTAATCTTAATATGACGCTTAATGTCATATTTGTCTCATTTTCCCCTTTCTTACTATCTGTTGTATAGGAAACATATAAATAGTAGTGAAATCTCGTAGTATTTATTGGTGAGTGATATTTTATTGTTTTAAAAATAGACCACTAAGCTGTGCACTAAAGTATTTCCGAATTCGACTTCGGGTTTTTCAAGAAAAGAGCGTACCACTACTTAAACGGCCGGCAACGTTTTCGCGAGCCCGATTGAGGTTCCATGGTCGGCGGTATCACTAAACATCAAGTGAGCCTCCTGCCCGTTTGTTCTAAGATATAAAAAAATAATTGTTGCTACAATAATGATTTTATTATCATAATGGCTTAACTCCTCATGAACCCATTAAAAGACCCCGAAAATAATCACTTATTTGTTTTTAAACTGTCGCGGTTCCGGCAAAAAGAAACGAACGATAATATGAAAGTCATAGTCCCGTATCCTAACATTTGTAAGTATTAAAATAGATGAATTAATAATTTTATACCTTCACTCAATATAGAAATTGAATCAAAAATTCAAAACAAGAATTTGATTACTTTTTCACATTGAAAAGGCCTCCAACTATTGTTTTAGCGTTCATAAATGTTTTCTTTACTTTGTTTGTCTATTTGTTTACTATTTGATGACCAAGTTCGGAACTGGTGATCGATAAACGATTTGTACTGTTTTAGTGAGTTTATTTTATCCTTCAACAAATCAGATTTATATTTTATTTATCACGCCTTTTTCCGGAAGGGGTACGCTAAGGATCTTTACTTGCTACAGTCCTGATATACAACGGATTATCGACCTTAACTTGTCCCTACTCTAGTATCTCCTGGATTTGGTCCAGGTATGTACGACAAGTGATACCCAAAACGACTTCACCGTACACAGTTGCCTTGTATATTCTATGGGATTTGTATTTTGTTTGTATTTACAATTTAATTTCTTTGTTGCTTGTAAATATTTAACGAATTGATTATTATTAGTGGATGTCATAGAACTTTATCAGTCTTAGTAAGATAAGACTGTATGTTCTTATTTATTCTATTTATTTATTAATTAAAGTTTACTATTACGAATATTATTTTCGACTTTCCAGTATTTTACGCCACATAATGGTTACTTTTAGGTATAAAGAGTCACTAGGTGGTTACGAAACGTTTTACTATACTTGGGTACTGTAGAAAAACGTTACGGCGCGTTACATGGGGGGTCAATAATCTCCAAAAATTGCGTGACGTAATACTTGAACGCTCCCTAATACATAACACTATATCACTATAACAAAGGAAAAACTCTTTTATCTAAACTGTATGACAATTTAGGTAAAGATAAATGTTAAAAAAATACAATTAAAATATGTAAAACATAAACTAAGTCTGTCTTCAAGAGAAATAAAAATATTTTTTCTATAAACTAAACTTTATCTTAGTATAAAGTGAACTTGATGTGTCGAACAAATACATTTTTCAAGGTTTCTTCCGAAACTGGTAAACTAATATACTACATAATTTTCCTTATACTCGTAGAGTTAGTATATCAGAGTCTGTGTTTCAAATTATCTGCGTTAACCAAAGATGTCAAGTCGCAAGTGTCAGTTGACAAATCAACTGAGTAGTCCCAAAGCAATCTTCACAACATAATTTATACTAAGACTCCAGGAGCTATGAGAATCTGTCTATTATGGCCGCGTCCATGCAATACTTATCACGTCGGATACAAATTTTATTTGTCAATCTGGTATAGGCTATTCGAAATCGTAAGCGTAAATCTCTTGAAGAATTATTACTGTAGTGAAAAATTGATTGCTTAATAAAGTTGGGATGACCAAGGGTTTATGTGACGGGATATAATCCAGATTTGCGTCTGTAAACACGTTACTACACTTCAATTTTAAAGAGCTTACGTTGTTAACTGCTGGTTGTAACATTTTACATTTAACCTAATTTCGTTTTTACTGGGTATACAGTTGACGTTTCTATTTAATCGAATCGAAGGAGGTTCTCGAATACGCAGAACATTTTTTTATTTACGGTTAACCGAAAAGTTTTTTCGCGTGATTGATATATTTATAACGTAGTATAAGTATATTTGTCATATACATTCAGTGTGCTGATGAGGGGCTGAAATCGAGCTGATTTATATATTTTTATATATGTTATTAAAAATATATTTATTGACAATGATGCCTTTGTTTCAGATTCGACGCAATGGCAGGCCCTCATAACGGTGGTAAGTTATCTTTATACCATTTTGTGCCTTTCATTCCTATCCAGCCAATCCTTTACTTCCCCGTGAACTGCCCAAACCCCGCTACGTTGTACTGTATTGCTAACATATATAACTAACCTTACAAAGAAAATATTGATGTTATAATGTGTGGACTCAGTATGAACAACGCTGGGTTGAGTGTGGTTATAATAATGTTTTGCGTGAGAGACTGCCGCAACAGCGGCTAGTCGCTGCGAGCTGCCCATTGCCCAGCCTAAGGGGCTACGCTGTGCGCCCACGATGCTCGCCAAGACTATCTGGCTGAAGCAGCGCCAGCGATCCACAACCGCACTCAGCGGCGCCGCCTTCGCGACTGCCGCAACTCGAACACGAATCCTTTTTCAAAAAATTTATCAGCTCGGATTTGATTTTGGCCACTTGGTACACGACATCTGTAACAAACGTTATAGCATATAGTATATGTTGGATAATTTTGTATCTTAAATTCATTTATTTATTACGAAATAATCTATTATATAAAAATGAATGGCTGAATGTGTTGCTAAGCTCAAGTCTCGAGAGCAACTGAACCGATTTCGCAATTTTTTTTTACAATATTTTTTGAAGTACGAGGATGGTTCTTACGTAGAGGAAAATTTAAAAAATTGCCTGAAAAAGTCTAAAAACAACACTTTTCTATATTTCCATACAAAAGATTCGTAATAATAGTTAAAAATCAATTTGAACTTTAATACCATACCATAAACCTTAAGTCTTAGTGGAGGGTTTCCGGGAAGGTAAAACAATTAAGTGACGTTAAATAAATAAATTAACAAAGCCTTTATTGACAATCTTGTAAGTTACATTTTATCTTATTTCTACTTAGTTATGAATGAAATTTAGTGAAAGTAAATGTAAATATTATCAAATTATTTCCAATTAGACACCGGTTTCTTGATCGTCTTGCTTTTCAGCATAGGCCTCCCCAAATGTTCTCCACAAAGATCTATCTCTTGCTTTCCTCATCCATGTCGCTCCTGCCACCTTTTTAATATCATCTTCCCGTCTACGATGTTGTCTACCTTTACTTCTCGTTTTATGTCTAGGGCACCATTCCATAACTTCTTTGGTCAATTTTTCTGTATTACTTCTTATCAAATGCCCAGCCCATTTCCATTTTAGTTGTTTGATTCGGTATTTTATGTGTATAATTTTAGTATGATTTCTTATTGTTGTTAGTCGAACTTTGTCTTTTAGTTTTATGTTGAGTATACTTCTTTCCATTCGGTGTTGACAAGTGAAAGACGTTATTATCGTATAAATATTAATGTCAATATTTATACGATGGTAACATTACCTGTACGTTTATGGCAAAATGTTTAAAAAATAAATGTCCACCCATGCGAAGCCGTTACGGGCCGCTAGTAATAATATAGTTTACTAAATTACTTCAATCCAAACCCCGATTATATTCCTATAAATACACCGCTTAGCTAAGAAAGGTTTCTCTAGTCCCGCGTACGATAACCGTAAATCATTACTAGAAACGTGACTAAGCTCTCAATAGTATTTTTTTATTTTCACCATTTTAACTGTCAAGTTGTCGACACTAACTGGTAGCAATTAACATCACCCATTATTAATGAAATGGCGACGAATAGCACGTTAAATTTCTAATTACCATCATTTTATTGAGTTTCGCGTAAAAATGCAAATTAAATGGTGTTCAGAGTAAATTTAGAAAAAAATCGCAGACCGCATATTGAGTGTATTTTGGATAATGGAACTCATTTCGGTTATTCATTAGATACTCTATTGAATTTCGTTTAGCATACTAATTAACTATCTTTAATAAACTTGAACACTGAAGAAGTATAATCAGACTAATAATAAATCCGTATATTAATTATAAGAATTTATTATTCAAAGAGCAACGTGACAACTTAAATAAATGCGAAGTGAAAATGCGCATTTATACATACATACATCGTGATGGCGTCAAGTCATCGGCATTATCAGCCACAGAAGACATGTCTGCCTATTAGAAAAAATCAACACGATACAATAACTAAGGCCAAGTGCTGTAGCGCCAGTGATCTTCGTTTTTAAGTGGAAATAATTAATTTCTTACAAAAGTTATGGTATTATATAATCAGTTTTAAATTAAAAGAGACAAGTACAAATGCTGGAAGTAAATTTGCTTAAAGCAGTATATGCGTTAAAGCAAAATTAATTTATTTTTACGTAATAATAATAAAATGTTTCAGATCTACACCTGAAACTAATAACTATTAAATAGAAATCACTTCAATTAGTCAGTTTGATTCAAAAGACTGATTTGATTCTTTCTTTAAATGGCGTACGTAAGTGTACATGATAATAAAACTAAAGAATTATATAAAAAAGTACATCTACTTACTCTACAAAAAGCCCACTAAATCTAGAGTTCTTAGAGTTTTTAATCCGACCAACAACATTTATTTATCCATTTCTTGTAGTAGTTTTAGTAACAATTATTCTAATTTTTTTATTTACTACTAGTGGACCCCACAGACGTTGTCCTGCATGATATTTAAAGCGATTAGGATATTAAGCAAAGTATGAAAGTACCGACTGCAGTGCCATCTGCCGGGCTGATTTGTGAATCTAAACCATTCTCGAATCTCCACGAACACACACAAAAAATTTCATCAAAATTGGTCCAGTCGTTTAGGAGGTGTTCAGTCACATACACACGCACACAAGAAATATATATATTAAGATATACTTTTACACACACATTTTCCAAGCTTTATTTACTTACACTGTTAATTTTTTACTATTATTATTAGAATTATTATATTATTTTACGTTTTTTGCGTTTGAGGCGCAAACTGTTGTGGTCTCCTGTCTGCTCCACAGCATAATGCTGCACACACATTACACACTAAAAATATTATTATTTTGTGTGTGTGTGTGTGTTTCGTTAGTAATAAATCTTATTTCTATGTCTAAAAAACTATTACTATGCGGATCACTCATAAAACTTAGCTCTTTATAGGTAAGGGTAGTAATGGGGATTTTAAACGGCCATTAGAGAGTTAAGCACGTTCAAGCTATAGTTATATTTCATTCGGATTATAAATAGGAAATCAGAAATTAAATATAGGGAAAGAACAAAAATTACATCAACTAAGTGGGGTTTTTAAAAAAAATAAGTAATTGCTATTCTACTCCCCTGCCATAGTGTCCAGGGACTTTTTCTATCTCTAAACTTCACATCACACGTCTCGCGAAATACTACGAACTAAGTGGGTTGGCTCATGTCAGTAAAAAATTACAGACAAAAGAAGCGTTTAAAATTTTATTACATTGAACTATGTTTAAAATAGTTATTTGTGGGCGTATTTTTTTTTATTTACACTTCATTACATACATTGCAACATAATACATAAAAAATATAAGGGATTACCTCTACGGGTCGCAACGGGCGGCATTAACGCTAACAAGTGATCACTTCGAGGCAACCCTAGTAAGGAAAAAACTAAAAAAAAAAATACGCATAACTAAATCATATAAAAACAACCTTAATCTAAAATATTACAAAAAAATTAAAGAAAAACTAAAAAGCTAATCTCAGAGATTCATGAACTGCGATACAATACAAAAGAATAAGAATTACAAAAGTCACGATTGAGCAGGATAGGATATGGCTAATAATGTTTATGTAGAAGAGTTTTAAAAGATGTTAGATGTTATGTTAACCAATCATATATATATGTCGGTTTTTTAGAAAAATATCTTACTATTTCTTTCTAATCACAGTGTTATTGACACTCTAAATTTTGTATTTCATTGTGTTTTATGTCAAATGTTTCTTCCTATTTCGTGCAGTACATGTTAACTCGGAATTAGAATTCACGCGATATAATACGCAAATATATTATTGGAAGAATACTCTGCAGGAGTGCATTTGAAAATGGAAGATTTCTAAAAATATACGAAGATATTTCATTTTCTAATGTCGTTTCAACGAAATCATCTACAAGGAACCTAACTATTCCATTAGGGAATTAACGTGGCGTGTTATTTATAATGGCATGGTGGAGTGCTTTTGCCTGATATGTACCTGATAATAGGAGTTTATTTAAAAAACATGTACACCAATAATGGTTATGAATTATAAGTTCCCGAAGCAATACCAAAGTAAAAATAACCTAAATTATTGAGATAATTCTTAGTAATAACTCATTAGATGATTTTCTTGTTTTAATTAATATCGATAAAACTTACGTGAATAAAACGTATTTAAAATTAAATTTCAATATTATAATTAGAGAATAAAATTATTTCACTTTTTGAAGAATTATTTGAATGCTACAATAGACCACAAGCCCATGAACAAAAAATACCTGTGAAATGACCCAACGTGAATTACGCTTAGAAGGCTGTTACTATATCTGAAAATAGCTCTGAGCACTATGCCGTCATTTCTGAGCGGTACATGTGAGTACGTGAGTGAATGGACTTTCTCATGTACAATGGGGGAATTTCGACTAATTATTAAAGTACGGCTTTGTTATAAGTGTATAGATGATTAAAAATAAATGTCGAAAAACCTAGTGCCGTACAAAAGTGATGGTGCCGGAAGTCGGTGCAAATTTTTAATTCGACGACAGTTGCAGGAGCAATATAGGTCATTTATTACTGTACGGCATTTGTGTCATTCCTTTTGGACACATATACAGATACTTTACCCGTAAACGCCGTACATATTCCCAGCGGAGCGGTCGAAAGCCAAGGGTCGCAACATATGTCTGATTAGCATATAGGTGATGATGATATAGAACAACATAAAATTAAATGATCTTGAGAGTACTTCACAAATAGATAACATTTTCCAGCATGCCGTACATTTTTTGTGGAACACATAGGTGTATGGGGCAAATTACTTTTCTCAGAAAAGGGTCATTTTCCGGTGACTTTTATCTGTACGGCAATAACACAGGTTATTAATACTTTAGACAATCTTCAATAAAAGATAAATGCCGTACACTTTCGATAGTCCGCTACCACCGCCTACCAATACAGGGCGTCCCAAAGTTATGGGAAATGAAGGGAAAGTACCTTAAATATCGTAGATAGGGTATTTTACTAAAATAAGACTTTATGTTATTTTTAAAAGTTATTAATTCTGCATTCAAAGATTTTTTAAAAATTACTTGCCTCGTCTGGGAATCGAACTGACTTAAATGTAAAAAAAACACCCCTACTTTTATGATGCCAATCGAAAGAATGGCCAAAAACTAATAACTCTTCTTAAGTAACATAGTATTTTAAAAGAAAGGAACAGCGTGAATATATCTTTTAATCAAATTAAAAACATTATCTATCGTATTCGGCCTAAAAAAATCCCCTACGAGTCTGTTACTTTAGAAAAGTTATTAGGTTTTGGCCATTCTTTCGATTGGCATCATAAAAGTAGGGTGTTTTTTTTTTAATTTAAGTCGGTTCGATTTCCAGACGAGGCAAGTAGTTTTAAAAAAATCTTTGAATGCAGAATTACTAACTTTTATAAATAACATAAAGTCTTCTTTTAGTAAAATACCCTATCTGCGATATTTAAGGTACTTTCCCTTCATGTCTCATAACTTTGGGACGCCCTGTATTATATATATTTTTGTTAAAAATATTTTTCCTTTACCTCTCTCTGCTGGTACGATAAGGCTGTAAATATACTTTACAGCCTTATGGTAGTATACTCAGATATGTACAGTTATTAATGACCTTAAGGGACACCTCAAACGTCGTCGAAGTTTTTATCAGCTGTAAAGAATAATCTGGAGTAAAATGTACGGCATCTGGTTTTTTTGTTTATTTATATTTGTTACATATAAAATAACAATAATCTTTGAAAATATTACTCCCCATATTACTCTAGGAGCATTTGAAAAGTCATCTAAATTTCGGAAATTTCATATATTTTTTATCATAATATTTTTATTTGTTACCATTTATAATGAACGGCTATAATGTACAACGGTAATATTTAGTAACATTATGTAAAAAAACAAGTTGCCGTACATTATTCTCTGATCTTACAGCAGTAAGAATTTGGTAAATCCTGAAATTTCGATAAATATTTAATTACACAAATATTAACTATATTATTTGGACGGCATAATTATAAAACATTATTGTCCGTGTTAAATAATATTTTGAACATGTTGCCGTACATTTTACAATGACCTTAGGGTATATGGGTGTAGGGGTAGGGTTCCGACCCTTGGCTTTCGACCGCTCCGCTGGAAATATGTACGGCGTTTACGGGTAAAGTATCTGTATATGTGTCCAAAAGGAATGACACAAATGCCGTACAGTAATAAATGACCTATATTGCTCCTGCAACTGTCGTCGAATTAAACATTTGCACCGACTTCCGGCACCATCACTTTTGTACGGCACTAGGTTTTTCGACATTTATTTTTAATCATCTATACACTTATAACAAAGCCGTACATTAATAATTAGTCGAAATTCCCCCATTGTACATGAGAAAGTCCATTCACTCACGTACTCACATGTACCGCTCAGAAATGACGGCATAGTGCTCAGAGCTATTTTCAGATATAGTAACAGCCTTCTAAGCGTAATTCAGGTTGGGTCATTTCACAGGTATTTTTTGTTCATGGGCTTGTGGTCTACAACAATGTCATTGTTGATTTAAGTAATTTAACTTTCTGTATTTGTTTTGTTTATTTGTAATAAAACTAAATAAACTTGGCCATGTTTTAAAATATTATCTAAAAATCTTTGAAAATGTTAAAATCGTACACACCTCCACAGATTATTCCAGCGAGAAAAGTTTGCACTAGATTATCTCTGAACTAATAAAAAAATACGGTATATTTTAAAAATAGAAAGGTTTCACTTCACGGACGCGGGAAAGTTTTATTGAGTCTCGGGAGCCCGCGCGCGACTCTCACCCCCAAGGCTTCAACACTGAGTGTTAAAACCGCCCGCCCAACGTATTTTACTGCTTGGCCAACGTGC